CTACATACATATATGTATATATATATATCTATATATATATATATATATATATATATACGTACATATACATATACATGCATATACATAGATACATACATATACATATACATGCATATACATACATACACACATCTACATACATATATGTATATATATGTATGTATGTATATATGTATATATATATATAGATGTATAGATACATACATACACACACATACATACATACATACAGTATTTTCTAAATATATACGGATGTCGTTGCTCCCCTCTGCTAGGGTTTCGCCTCATGGCGAACCCTAACTTTCAGCTACACGGATCTCCCATCTGCTACACAGATCTCTCTTGTGTTTCTATTCCCCTGCTTCATCTTCGTCGACGTTGTCTTTCCAGACGACGAGGCAGGCTCGAGTTTTTGCACTTCTTTCCAGACGACGTTCTCGTCTGTTCACGACAACTCCTTCGCGGTCCTCGCAATTCCGCGCCTCGTCTCGGTCTGGCGGCAGAGCTGCTGCTCTGCTCACAAAGTTGCAACTGCGTTCTCGTCTACCGTTCTATCCCTTCTTTTGCGACATTTCCTCACAGAGTGACTGACAACGGCCAAGGTGATGGCCTCAGGGGTTCTTTCCTACTCCGCCGCTCTCGCCGGTGATAACCCCGCTCCCGCTCCTCTTTCGAATATGTTTCTGCAATGTTACCACGTTACTTTTGCTCTTGGCTTTGAAACTAGATTTCTCCAAAAAAAAAACATCCCGTAAAAACGACAAACCTGCAATCTTTCTCACAGTCTTTCTCACAGAGGCCGAGCCGAGATCTCCACCCTAGCTACGCCTTGCCGACTGTTCTTAGTAGGTAAGTTTATTTATGGGAACCCTAAACTTGAGCTAATTCAAAAGGATTTTGAGTAAATGATGTTAAATGGGGGTTGGAAGATTGGTAAATTGGATGGTCGACATATTCTCATTCAATTATCAATTGATGAAGACTACGCCCATTTGTTTGCGAGAATGTTTGCGAGAAGAGAAGACTCTTTCGAATAGATAACCAGGTGATGAAGGTTTTAAAATGGACGGTGGATTTTGACCCTTGTACTGAACCTCCTACCATTCCTGTTTGGCCGCGCTTCCCATGTTTGACGGTCCACTTTTACGATCAAGAGCTCCTCTTCACTTTAGCGATGATATACAGTAAATCTCTCAAAACTGATACGCCTACAATGAATCTGACTCGACTTTCTGAAGCCAGAATTTTGATAGAACGGGATTAACTTTACCTTGTCCAGGAGATATTGATTGACACACAACATCAGCGATTTTGGCAGCAAACAGAACTAGAACAGCCTCTTTATTACACTCACTGTCGTATGTTTGGACACTCTCTTTCTCAATGTTATCATTTGCATCCGAATCTAAAACCTCCAAGTAAAAATGCTACTGGATCTGCCCCACTTCATACCCGTCCCTCTTCCACTCCCGAGTGCATTCCACAGACTATTGAAATATTGGTTGACACGATGCCACCTGCCACCTCTCCCTCCCACTACCAGAGATAATATTGTTTCTGTTCTTCCGATTGATGTATTGGCAGATGGTTTACTTGGGCATCCTACAGTCTCTATCACTGTTAAGAACAATACTGCAGGATTCTTACCTCCAAAGGATATTCTTCAGTCCGATAATTAGGATAGTTACACAGCTCCACATCCTCAGAAAGCATCAGGTGCTGAGGAGACATGTTAATCATCTCTTCAGAATGAGAATGTTGTTACTGTTAGTCAGGAGCTGGGGGCTCATCCTCTTCTACATGCCCGACAATTTGTTGACCATACTGATCAGGTGAGTCAGTCTTCGGATGAGAAATGACAGGTATACACATCTAGGAAGAAAAAGAAGAATGGAGACACACCCCAGCTTGGGAACTTAATGGATGATGCTTTAGTAACTTCGGGTAATGACACGATACTCAGCAATTTGTTAGCTGGCTCCACTCCTAGAACCAGAGGCAGAGGCAGGACCAAGCTGGCTCGTCCCTAACAACTTATTTTTTGCGAGTTTTGAATTTTAGAGTTTTATCTATATCTTATCCATTTTAGGATGCTAGTGTCTGTGTATCGTATGAATAAAGCGCTTTTGTTGGGTCCTCTCATACAACCTTTATGTACATTTTCAATTTTAATAATAATAAAAAATACATACATACACACATATACATACATACATATACATACATAATTATATATAGATAGATACATACATATTTATATATAGATACATATATATACACATACATATATATATACATACATACATATATATATACATACATACATATATATATACATACATACATATATATATACATACATACATATATATATACATACATACATATATATATACATACATACATATATATATACATACATACATATATATATACATACATACATATATATATACATACATACATATATATATACATACATACATATATATATACATACATACATATATATATACATACATACATATATATATACATACATACATATATATATACATACATACATATATATATACATACATACATATATATATACATACATACATATATATATACATACATACATATATATATACATACATACATATATATATACATACATACATATATATATACATACATACATATATATATAAGCTGAGCCTGGGCTCGCTCGTGTTCGGCTCGTTTACACCCCTGCTCATGTCTCTAATCTCTTAGGGGTCTTCATGTGAGTAATAATGATGCAGGCGTAGGCCTCCCGCACTGCAGCGGGAGGGACTTGTCTGTGGCCTGGTTTGGTTCAGAACTCAAGAGACGGAAGACTCTTTTTTTCATTGGATTTTCCACCCAATTGGAGTGAGACCCACTCCTAGTTATCCTAGGTCTATTTATTTATTTTTGTAGTTGTCTGGGGTTAGTTTTGTTTGATGTTTATGTCAAGACAATTGTCGATGTCCCTGCAGACGTCTAGGTTTCCATGTTCTAGGGCTGTATCTGAAGGCGAGAAGGTATTCTGCCTGAACTCATCCGAGGTGATAACCTTCTCCATGGATTTGAGTGGTGCTTTGACTGTAGCTCTATTCTGAGTGGATACTTATCCTCACTTCGCTCTCCTTCGGGACTTTCCCCATCTTTCGCAACCCTCCTCTCACTGTCGCAACCTCCTGCCTCGTCTTATTTCTGCAAAACAGTAGTTAGCTGTTTTCTACAGTCACCCCTAACCTTCCAGCCTCCCCACAATCCCTTCCCTCTACCCTGCCATACTCTTCCACGTCAGCAGCCATCTCAAGTGCCACACTCTAGACCACTCTCTCCCTTCCACCAGCTTTTCGTTTCTCCATGCCATGACCTTCAACCAGTCCTTCCCTGAATTTCACCCACTCCTCCTTCACCCTGTGCTACTGCTCACTCACAGCCAGCCTTCCTCCAACCAATCCTTCCCCTTCCTTTTCGTAACTTCCACCAGCCCTTCCACCAACTCATCCATCAAACCTCTCAACTGCCCCATCCAGCTACCAAACCTTCTTCTGTTCCCTTAATCGCACTCATCCCTTTTTTTCTGCTACCCAACCACCTTCACCCTAGCTCTAGTTTGGGTCTATGTGTTGTGTATTTTGTTGTTATTTCCTTGTCATATGTGTTTGTTGTAACCCTATTTAATTTCAGTAATAAAATTTATAATTCCATTATTGTTTGGGTTCTCCAGTATCACATAATCAAAATGAATAGCTTTCTCCCCCGCTTCTTCAATTTGGTCCAAGTTTTTTTATTATTCCTCCTCTTCAATCATCTTTTTCTTCTATAATCAGTAGTCAATAAGAAATCCATAATATTAATTCAATTTTAAAAGAACTTCAAATATTAAATTTTTTATGGATACCTTTTCTTTTTATCCATTGTTGCCTTATGATTGATTTACTAGTTTTGTTCTTGTATTCATTAAAGAAATCAACATTCAGACATTTTTATTGTAACTTAGATGGCGTGACCTTATTGTCATCATCTACAAAATCACTTTTCGTCTGATGATTTATCTTCATATAATGGAAGACTCTCATCATTCTTTAAACTCTTGTTTTTTAGATTTCTATCATTCAGTCTTTTATTGTAACCTCTTCTTCAATCTCAATCTTCTCTAATCAGTAATGATCGATAAAAATCCATAATATTAGTTGTAGTATAAAACAACTTCAAATAGTAAAATTTTTATGGATACCTTTTCTTTTTATCAATTTTTTCCTTATGATTGGTTTACTAGCTTTGTACTTGCTTAATTAAAGAAATCAACATTCATAACTTATTATTGTAACTTAGATGGCGTGACCTCATTGTCATCATCTATAAAATTACTTATCATCTAATGACAATATCTTCATATAATAGAAGATCCCCATCTTCCTTTAATCTCTTTTTATAGATTTCTTTCATGAAGTTTTTTATTGTACATGATGTGCACCAATGAATTCATTCTTAAGATCATCAGATAGTTTATTCTTCTTTTATGAACTTAAGTATGCATGTTTAAGTTGTGCTCACATCCAGTTGATGAATGTGTAATTCTCAAACTTTTAACAACAAAATGTTATAACTTTGGAGTGCCATCATCAAATTAGATTTGCCATTCAACTAAATGGATTTAACTCCAATAGACCATAACTCAATAATAATGGATGTAGAATGAGGATTCAGGAAGTCAACCTTAAATCATTCGTATAAGGCTATATGATGATGGTGTTGGGGAATATTAATTTATTTTTTGAATCAATTGGAATACAGGGTTTATTAAAATGGAACAGACCAGGGAACTTTGGATTCATTCTTTTGTTTTTTACCGTACACAATCAGTGTCTAGTGCTGCAATAGCAGAACCCATTTTTTAACTGTTGATTCTCAAGCTATTCCTCCTGTTGCAATTGCATGGTTGTTTGGAGATGCTGGATGCGGTGAATGACAAATTTTGTTTGTGCTCACACAAAAGAGAGTAGAAGATTTCTAAATAAGATAGATTTCTATAAAAGAAAAGGAGTTGACCACAAATATTATGGCTTGAACCTGTAAAAAATGACTCATAATTGGAATTTGCACCACTTGCAACTCTCAACAAGAGTTATTGGAGGAGAAAAATTCATTAAGCTAGCAATAAAAAATTGGGATGACCCGAATGATGAAGACGGAGATGATGTTAGACTTTTGAAAAGTAAATTTTCAAGAAAATACAAAGGAATATTTGAGCATTGAGCATAATAACCCGATGCTTATTTTTCTATTGCAGTAAATGTGGATCTTAAAATTGGATTCATAGGGTATCTTATACTGAACCTGCATTGATTATCTAGTTAGAACGTTATTACTTCTAATTTATTAGATAGTTTGTT